ACAAAAGAAAAACCCCAACAAAGACGGAAGCCCTACTTCTTAACTTCTGAAAATAAGAACCTCTCTGTCTAGCACTATTCTAGTTGACCAATTTTCTGAGAGATATAAACGATAACCAGAATGTCACTTGAACTAACTACATTCATCTAGTACTAAAAGGAAAGGCTTTCTCTGGAGAGATCTAACGCTTTTACTTTTGATAAAATATAATGAAAGTATTTAATACTGCACAAACTACATCTTTTATACCTTCTAATACACACTACTTATGTGGAAATAAAAATCTCTTTTATAAAAGACGGGGGTTTAAGACGAAGTTAACTGTATTGATGAAGTGTCTGAAACTTTATGTATGTTTAGAAGTAGCGCTACTGGGAACTTATTAATCTACGAGACTGATTCTTAGTATACACGCCTAATAACGGTTTGAAGAGTTATCGAACTGTCTTCTTCTATCTGTACAATAAGAAGTAACGAGCTTTTAACTTTCTTGGTCTACAGCTAGTTATTAAGGTATCGAGTGTCAACTGATGGATGCGATAAACTTTATTTGAGAAGTGAGCCATCACAACACTAACCCTACATGACATGTTAGAATCAATTAACTGATTCTAAAAACCGCCATCAGTTCTTCACGATTACAATATTGGAATTATTTCCTACCTTTTTATTCCGTTAAATCAACATATCGCTCATATCTGGAAGTCAAGTGTTGCCAGAGCTTGATGTTTGGTGACAATATCATCTTCGCTAAACATTACAATCTTTACTTCACAATTTTTGGAACTCACGGGATACCATAACTTGATAATAATAACCTCTTTGTAAAACACTACCATCCGTACTTCATAATTTTTGGAACTCACGGGATACCAGAGTTTAATAATAATTTCCGAAAACCATTACAATCTGTACTTCGTAATTGCAGCCCTTGGCAACATTTTATTCACCGATACTATAATATCCTTTATACCTGGACGTCAACAGCTATAGTAAAAATGAAATGGGGTTTAACGTCCTACTTGTCTTCACCGAAGACGGCCATATGCCATGCAGTGTGCCCATAAGATGGAAAATGAAAGGGAAAATGAAAATTAATCCATCCCGCAAAATAAAGGGACCTTTACTGACCATTGGGTAGGGTGATGCAATTCCCGATCGGAGTTCAGAGTTTCAGCAAATCACACAATTCGGATTTTGAATCAAGGTGTCTAGTTCTTAAACTCAAGCTGCTGTTCCATTGGTTCTACTTACCGATCCGGTGCCATCTGCTAAAGTTATGTAGGTTCATTTTTCGGGCAGAAATGATACAGCCAAAGGAAAATCTGCCTGTACGCCCATGTTCGGAGGTCCCGTATACACGATGGTGTGCTCGTAGAAGAGCCCTAGACAGTTGTAATTCGACGAAGAGTGTGCGGAAACGCAAAATGTCTTTCACTGCACACTTCTTGGCTTAGACATATTCAAAAATTAGCACGATTTAAAGCTGATTAGTGACTACAACATATTATGGCTTACATAGAATTATCGCCGCTTTAAAACGCGATCGGACATACACATTTCCTGGGCCCTTGAAATATTGACAGCGAAACTAGGTGCGCCATGTTATTCGTGAAGATGTCACGTGGTCTTCAGACGCAATTGACCAGTCCCTATGTAATAAAAACAAGAAATCGAGTTAATAACCATTCGTTTCTATCTGTACTTTGTAAAATTCAATTACTGACTGCACCTGTTCTCAAATCTATTGCTACGTTTGATGGTCTGCAGATGTTTTATTTTTTATTTCATACTTCTACATTTAATTGAAATTTGCTACAAACCTTGTTTTAAAATCATCTGTGTGTATTAAATCACATTGGTAATGGAACCAAACACCTGCGCGTGGATTAAACTTAAAAAGCCTCAAAGCGGTCAACGGTTGAAAATGGACTGATTGTCATCCTTGTTCTATATGATTTAGTGTCTTGAACTTGCTTCCATTTTTTTGTTATCGTTTCAGGAACTTTCAAACCAGGAACAAGTGGTTGAATTCATTGATCTGACATCTTGAGTTGGAACGAGGGGTTTTAAGATAAGAGCAAGTTATGGTTACTCGGTAAACAATGTTAACAAAACTATTTTAGTTTCGTATTAGCCGACAGCTCTGTGCACCACAATGGAAGCTGGGTGACTTCATTAAGCTTACTGAAAGCAAATCAAAAGAAAGTCTCTCATATAGGGTGAGTAAAGCTTTGGATATAATAAAAGCGATTTTCACTTCAAGGCATGCCCATAAAGGAATGAGATTCGGTTGAAAATTGTAAGCGGGCTAGCTTCTGGTATCTTGATTAAAGTAATATTGTTCACAATGGCGTCGTTATTAAAATCACGCGCTGATTAATTTCCGTTACACTGCATAAAATCGCAGAAGATATTCAAGAAAATGACCAAATCAGTCTGTAACAGATTTTAGATATTCATCAAGCGAGCAGGGGATATTTTAAAAATGTTTTTAAATAAGTATATAGTCGTCACTTATAATTAAGTCAGACAAGGGTCGTGTAAGGTTGACTTGCATACCAAAGGAGAGAGAGAGGGGAATGAGGTTTAACGTCCACTCGACACAAACTAGGTCATTTCGGGACTAACACATGGTTTAATTTTATTTCAATAATTCGCTTGCGCATAGGGGTCTTTAGCAGTGGGAGGAAACCGGAGGACCAGGAGAAAACCCACGAGGTTGGACAGGCGACCCTACTCCATGTCACGTACAACCGGGGATTCGAAACCACGCCAGTTGACTCAATGACAGGCTTTATGATACAACACGCACGTGCTAACCATTCGGCCATCCAACCCCCCGCATACCAAAGGAAAGGGTAGGATGTGGTATGGCGTGGAAGGCTACCGCAAGTTACCGGAACGCGATCGAAATTTGCGCAATATTATTTGGCAGGGGAATTGTCCGGTTCATTTGACCGAAAGCCAATAAAACACTCTTTTGCGTTGGCCCATCGAAATGAACAAACAAAATTTCCCCAGTCCGCCGTTAACTTTTTATGGTGTAGAGAGTTGAATAATCAGGGTGCGGAAATTATAGATTTGTATGGGTCAAGTATGGGTGGAAATATTGTGACCTCTGAACTCAACTCCTGTCTGATGTCATCGATACTTTAATTACCATCTTAGATTCAACACAGCAAACAGATGTTTGACTAATCAAAGAATGGTTTTAATATTTATTTATGCTGTAACAATACCAGGAATCAATCAACTCTGTGATACTGCATCTTATCCGATTATAAATAGATTCGATGTGTCGTGGAGTAAATGTACGGCCATCGTGCCACCGACATTAGTAAAGTCTAGAGATAACGATATTCAAACATACAAACTAGAGAAGAAAAAGACTGTGCAGATCTGCCTCTTTGAATCGGTGACAAGAGAACGGATGAACTTACTCGGCCAAAGCAGGGATGGAACACGGGCCCGCCAGGTTATGTAACCAGGTAACTGTAACACTATCTTGGTCATAACAGAGATCAGTTTAGTAAATACAGCATTTATTTACAACGGGAACAGAATATCAAACAGTTACATAGATACAAAAAGACTACACTACACCGGGAACTATAGAAACAACAGGAAGACATATAACAATATTAAATCCACCATACTGCCCTCTGACAAGGCAGCGGCTGAACTCGGGTGAGTCCATACACCGGTCTCTGCTTCTCTCCTCCCGTTTTTAGTCGTCTGTCCCTCTGCCAAGGCAGCAGCTGAACTCGGATGAGTCCATGCATTCGTCCAAGCCTCTCTTCTCCGCCCGTCTGTGGTCGTCTGCCCAACTGTCAGTAAACTCATGGTCATACATGCAATTGTCTCTTTTATCTCGTCACGGAATGCTTACTGACCAGTACATATATCCTTTGAAGTAATGCGGAGCGTGTGCACAGATCACATGTAGTTTGTAATGACATATGGGATTAATTACATGTTTAATTAGATCATAACCAGTCCGTGCCTTAACAAAAGTTTATACGGAGTTAAAACATCAATATCATATATTGAAAAAAAAACAGCTGAGGTCATACAGTTCTAAGCACCTAAATGACCGTTCAATTTGATGAAAGTTATAGAGTACTTTGTTACAGTTAACCAACGTCTTACTCACTGAGTCACTGTGGCTCCCGCATTTCGCACCTAAATACAGAAATGAAAATTACCATATGTCTCAAAATGATCGAATTATTATGTTGGGAAAATTTTAACCACATTATCTCATTACCATACACCATTTTCAGAACTAGGGACGAATATCTATTTACATTTGGCAAATGATAAGTTTATTTTAAACGAGACCTCTTTAAAGAATGAAACAGGCTTCGGTGTTTCAGGATATTGCTCTCCAAGCAACCATAGCACGTATATATTTAATCTTCGCATTATAAAGGTATGGTTTTTTTTCAAACTAAAGCACAGTCCTGTATGAATCTACAGAGGATTAACCGATGTTTATTTACAAATAAAAAAAAACTACAGACGTGGGTGTCTTCAGGATATTGGAATCCCGGTTCATCAGGTCTTTAGAAAAATAAACGGATATGTATATTTTTTAACTTCGCATGATATTGGTATGTTTTTCAAAATAAGGCACAGTCCTATATGAATCTACAAAGGATTAACCGAGGTTTCTTTAAAGATAAAAACCCCGTTACAGACTTGGGTGTATTCAGGAAACTGCAACACCGAGTCATCGTGTTCTTCAATAAAACGAACATCATAGCAGTTTTATGAACGGATTCCATCATAAATATCACACAAAATATTACACAATAACCATAAAAGTTGGCAGGTCATATTTCCATTAATTGCTTTTATATGATTTATAGTAAATTGTACATCATAATAGAATGTCAGATCCATGGGAAGTCCTGTAGTTAGCCACCAGATTTGTTCACGGTAAGTGATTGTTAAGCAGTTCCCGAACAGCCGTTTATTAAGAACTTGGTTCAATCGGGTGAAGGAAGCTGATTATTGGCATGACTCGTACATCGCTGTGTTTATCTCTCCATTTCTTTTGGATGTAACGTTTAATATTGTAAAGAGGAATTTCTGGTAAGCTCAAACTATCTTTGTATAATATAATTTTATTTTCGTTTTCTTTTCTAAAACTATTATTTCTTTTTTCTAAATATTTCCATTTCTTTTGGATGTAACATTTAATATTGTAAAGAGAAATTTTTGGTTTTGGTAAGCTCAAACTTTCTTTGTATAATATATATTTTTTTCGTTTCTTTTCGAAAACTATTGTTTCTTTTTTTCTGTTCTAAATATTACCATTGTGGGAAAAAAATCCGTCCCACCTTCAATGTTATTGGAGATATCAAATAATTAATTTTCCGATTCCATATTCACAACGTATGTATTGTAAACTGTTGCCAGAAGTGATAAAATTATATGTTGGTTATGATAGGGGTCAATTAATTCAGAATTAGGAAGATAAAGCTTACTGGTAATCTCAAACTGTGTTTGTATAATATATATTTTCTTTCTTTTTCTTTTCTAAAACTAATTTTTAAAACTATTTCCAATATGGAAAAAATCCCGAATCCCGCATCCCCAATGTTATTGAAAATGTCAGATAATTCAATAGTGCGTTGTAAGCTGTTGGCAGAAATGAAACAATTATCATTAGTTATGCTATACAGGTCAGTTAATTCAGAATAAAGAAAATATGGCTTTATTATTAATGCTGTACAAGTGCGTTCCCGAATTGATTCTAATCGCGATTTAGCTATGATAACCCATTTAACAAAGCATTATATCATACTTTATTATTATCTACCCCGGTATTTGCAAGATCTTGATTTTTATTTTTATGACGACCCGTACCATACTTTCGTGCAAACACTCGTTAAAATGGAATAAGACATTTATTTGAATTTTTGAAATGGACAGAAAACAACATAAAAACTTTACAAAGCATCAAAGAAAATGCATTGGTGCTTTCAAACCAGTATAATTAAAACGCGGTTTAATATCTGAATAACTCCACCATCTGTAATTCATTTTAATTGATCCCACGCTCCTCTCACAATGTGCGCCATTAATAACACCGACATTTATCAACTGTTCCCGGTAATGCCAACCATCTTGGTTTTGTATGGGGAAACATTAGCTTATAGAAACCGTCTATTCCAAGAGAAATGAGCGAAAATTCTAACAGCCTATCATTATAGGCGACTGAATTTAGTGCGAACTTGTGTACTCACAAATAATAAGGTCGAGTTATTACTTCGCCCTCTTTGCAAAATGGTTTCTTAAATTATTGATCAGGAAATATATAAATATATTAGCAAGTGCAAGAGGGCCACACTATGTGACTATACGCACACAGAACCGATAAGACAAACCTGCGGACAGGACACAAACTACACAGACATTGTTAGCAATAAACAACAAATATTAAGCCAAGAAAATGGATCCAGAGCCGACAGTAAGTGTCTACTGGTCTGTAATGGTACATGCTTTACTCTAAATGAAAAACAAAACAAAGATTTACAAGAACGACGCAAGTTAGATCGTCAAAAAATTAACAATAAGGGCGATAATCCAGATAGAATATCGGAAAACGCTAAAAATAAAGCGTAGTGAGTAAACAGGGTTAAAGTAGGAATAAACGATTGCTGGGAAATGAAATGAAATGAAATGAAATGGGGTTTAACGTCCTACTGTTCTGCTCCTAACCTGGGCTAATGAAGACGGGCATACGCCATACAGTGTGCTATGAGGGAAATTTTGCCCGGGCAGCGGCACTATCGCCTACTCTTATATCGAATTCCAACTGCCAAGGGATCTTTTACGTGCATTCTAATGTATACACGGGACCTAGGTTTTTCGTCTCATCCGAAGGACTAGATAGCTGTCCTTGTCAGGCCCTCCGTCCTGCATCACTGACAAGGGGGAACCACGCCGGAAAATCTGGATGAACTTTATCGGCCAATGCAGGGACCGAACACCCGACCTCCAGGCTAGCTAGCCAGCGTCTTATCCACTTAGCCACGTGATCCCCCGATTGCTGGGAAGTAAGGTGATGCCTTTCTCGTTCAAGAATACCAGATACTACTTTTTGTTTATTTAAATGGTTCGCATACTTAACAATGTATATTGTAATTAATCTTCCGGGTTTGTGACCCTGCTGGGGGGGGGGGGGGTCTTTTCCCCAAAATGGTAAGTATACACTGGTAAATGGTAAGTATTTCGTAAAAACATAGAATTGTCTGCCGGTATGTCAGGGTAGAACTAAAAGCTGGTTGTGTATAATTACATTTATAAAATACGTAGGCTGACAGGTTAACATAAGCATCTTGCTTTGATTCAGTAACCTATAAAAACTGATCCTGTGTTTACTGGTTTGAAACAATGAGGCATGTAGATATATAAGGCATGTTATATATAACCTATCTGGGAGCTGCGGTGACTCAGTGAATAAGACGTTGGCTCACTAGCCTGGAGGTCTCGGGTTCAGCCCGGATGTTGGGCGAGAAAGTTCCTCAGAATTTTTCGGTGTTGTCCTTGTCAGTGGTGCGGAACGGAGGGCCTGACAAGAACAGTTATCTAGTCGTTCGGATAGGGCTAAAAATCCGCATGCATATAAAAGATGCCTTGGCAAAATGTTCCTCATCGCACACTGTATGGCGTATGTCCGTCTTCATTAGCCTTGTCGGAGCAGAACAGTGGAAAGTTAAACACCATTTCATTTCAGTTCATTTATAACCTATCTAAAATTACTCCCACAGAGTGCGCTAATTGACCTACTTTTTAAAACTGAACATAATTGCAACAAAATCCCATTTACTTATTTATTCATTTATGTCATTCAGAGAGGAACATTATTATTTCATGTAAACATCTATCGAAAATTCCATAGAGGATAAAAATCGTATTTATCATTTTCCTCTTCACTGGCCAAACCAACAAATCGAAGATGTAACGCACAAAGGCTGCCAGGAATACTCCAGTGTACCCATTGCAACGATTCGCACTTTTTATTGGTTCCCGCAAGACAACGGATGCTTTATATAGAACCATTGAAAGGAAATGATGGGTCATATTGGTTTGTTTCTGCATCTGGTTTTCTTGAATCAAAACTTCACTGAATCGTTCAGTGATATGCCATATTCTTTCATTCATATCATCGACTAGAATGTTGGGTAAATTTTTAAAATAGTTCCCATGACTACACCTTATCACCAATATCTTTTAATATTCTCAAAAAAATTTGAATTATCAAAAAATAAAACGTTAATAATGTCTTATTATAGAGCTATCATTTTTATTAGAAACAGTTTTAAATTAAAAAAAAAATCGTTACAGTATACCCAAAAGGGGGGGGGGGGTAAGAGAGAGAAAGAGTAGAGGAATGGGGTTTAACGTCCACTCGACATAAAATTACTAGGTCATTTTGGAACTGACATATGGTTCAATTTTATTTCAATAATTCGCTTGTGCGTTGGTATCTCGTTTTCTCTGTGTACTCCTACAGCTAAAGATCCCAACGCGCAAGCGGGGAATCGAAACCACACCACTTGACTCATTGACAGACCGTGTGACCTAACACACACGCGTTACCCCCCCCACCCAACCAATAAAAATACGTACGTATATTACCTTTTAGTTTCCGGGAACAGGCTGATTATTTATTATATGTCGCTACCGATGCTTTCTTCCTATCGATAATTCATCATCGCCCAACGTTTACATGACGGTTTTTGTTTCACCACTTTCAAGTATAATTTACAAAAATAAAAACTTATCGGGAATGATGTGTTAGTCAGTTTGTTTTATAAGACTTATACTCGATAGTTTGTCAGGGCCTAAATTTGCCCAACATTGACTATTACTTGTTCACCGATAAATAACCCTTTTAAAGCCCCAATCACACCAACCAATTTCAATCAAGTTCTAAAAAACGCCCTACGCTGTCCTAGAAAATCGTAAAACGGGTTGTGGTCGGGGTTGAATGTGTAAATAATGTCAATAGCACGACCCTAGTTCGTTCATAAGTAGTCCACGATCAAGTTCAGATCGGGTAAATTTGCCATTTCCAAACAGTCCAAGCCCGCCGTAGTCAGTTTAAACCTGATCGTAACTAGTTCTACCTCGTTACGAGACAGTTCAACTCGTCCTCATCTCGTTCTTAGTGCGTTCGAACGCCTTCCTATTGCGTGTGCTACCCGTCCTGACTGGAGGGCTTTAGAAACCCAGTGCGTTCTTGCCATTTACCGTCCCAGTTGAACGCTTAAAGCTGTGCAGATCAAGACATTCAAATATAGATCTAAAATTGCTTCCTGTGTTTCATCATGCCCCCAAATAGATGTGCCAGAAGGACTTCCCGTAGGAAAGCAGCCACTAGTATCATCCGAAGATCCCCAAGCTCCAGCTCCTCTGAAGGCCAGCCAGATCAAGCTCCCAGCCAGATCAAGCCCAAGTTGTTGAGCCACCCGAGCAACCTGTCCCTTGGCCTTGTAGATCTCTACAGTCTGCCCCAGTAGACGATGGAGAGCAGCAGAAATCCCTGAAGAAAACCAAGACAAAAACCCAACTGACCAAGTCGTACTGCTAATTGATGCTTGATCACGCCACGTTGTAACACGTCTCTAGTAGGGTCGAAGTACGGCAATTCCGTTCATAGTATGGGGATTCCGTTCGTAGTACGTTCATCTCGTTTTACTTAAAATTACGTTGTCACTACGTCTAATTGCCGGGCGGGATAATTTTGAACGGGATCAAAGTTCTAAAGCACCCTTCCCGACCAAGCCAGTCCGAGCCCGTCCACGAAGTTCTTAAGCAGATCGTAAACAGTTGCTACTACGTTCACTCCGCTCGCACACAGTTTGGACCCGTTTGGCAAGATATTCCAGAACGCAGTGAGAACTAGTTTGGTGTCATGGAGCCTTTATTTTGGCTCAAGTGTAATCAACGCATCAGCCCCTTTTGTTTGCGTAGATCTGAAATTCTGGCATTGTCTAGTCGTTAGAATGTACGCAAAAGAACATTTGAATTCGAACTAAGAGTAGACCCTAGTGTGCTGTCTGAGCAAACGTCCCTCACAG